CCCCAAAACCCCAAAACCCCAAAACCCCAAAACCCCAAAAGGGACCGAATATTGAGTAAAAATATAAAATGATGCATATTGCTAAGATATAAAATGAATTATCCAAAAATTCTCCTTGGCTGAATTGCGCCTCGGTTAGACTTGTAGTTGATCCTATCTTTATTGCCACTGTTTGAGACTAAAGAGCTGTTTTCATTATTTTCCAAGTTTGGCTTGAATCCACTCAAAACTGCCTTTTCATTAGAGCTGTCCTTATAACTATTACTATCATCGTTTCTTTCAGGGAGGATCTTCATTTTGATGAAGGAATCCTCCTGGAACTTAGTAGTCTCATTCAAAAAACTCTGCTTCATATTATCAGATGTCATATAAGTAGAGAATCTGCTATCTCCACTCCCTTTGCTTCGTTCTTGCTTAATTCTTAAAATCTCCTTTGCATTGCTATTTGAATTGGAGATTCATCTTGAGCTCAAATTTGAGTTGTTACTCGCATATTTATCTAAATGTGAAGGATTGTTATCTGAGAGAGTCACATTCTCCTCATGCTCCTCTGGAATATTTCCAAGACTCATGTTAAGATATTTTGATTCGAGATTAATGGCCTCTTCATTAAATCTATTTTCATTCAAAGCATCTAACTTGGATTGGATTTTGTTTGGGAAATTTGGAGTCTGGTCACTATTATCCATCCCGCTATTTAAGTTATGGATGTTATCAGGCTCATTGTTTGAGAGGGATGCCAAATCGTTGGACAATATCTCATCCTCTAAAAGGTTTTGGAACCCAGAAGTGTCTTCATCTGGGGTCTGGAGAATGTCAGAGAGATCTACAATTTGTCCATTATTTTCAACCAGTGAGTTGTTCGACTGAATATCTAGTTGAGGATTCTTTAAAATTTCTGCAGTATTAGCCTCTTTGGTATGATCAATATGTTTATTCGCTACTTCAGGGGTCTTGAAGCTAGACCTCTTGGTTTCTGACATTGCCTGACTTAAGTTCTTCCTTCTAATGTGGCTTGCCATGACTCTCAGAGCCCCTTTGTTTCTAGGTCTTGTTGTTCTTGGAATAGCTGAAATCCAGCTACAGTTGAGTTCTAAACGGTCATAAAATAATAATACTATTAGAAGTAGAGTTAGTCAAAATTCTATTCGCATTCTCAAGTTTTTCGATAATTCCATCTTTATTTCGAACCTCTTGCTCTAGTAAGAGGTTCTTTTTCTGTAGCTGCTGGATCTCAATCTCGATGTCCTCCCTCACTTTATCATATCTGCTAAGAGAGCTAGTAATATATTCCAGTTCACTCTGCTCTAGACTTCGATGGGTTTTGAATTCCTTAATCGCAGTCTTCATATCCACCTAAAGAATTTACTTTTGGGAATTTACTGCCTGGGTAGTGTTGAATGCGATTTCTTTAGCATCATAAGAAACAGTATCCAATAATTTGGATAAATCAATCGCAGGAATATTATTATCTTGTAACTCATCAATAACCTGTAGCTCGATGCTTTCTCTCTGTGAATGCAAATTTTTCAAATTTTGAACTCTCCCTTGCATTGACTCTTGCAAAGAGTTCATTTCAGTGATCATGTTCTTAATCGAGGACTGTGAGTTAGCCATCTGCATTGACTCTTCAAGCTTGATTGTCATTGAACTATATGCTGCTAATTTCTCTTCAATTTTGATTTCTTCCTCAAGTTTAAACAGTTCTAACTGATTGATATATTCGTTCTATTTTTATCACAAAATTTCTTACTTCCTGATTCGTGAAGAGGTCTAACAACTCTTGCAAAAACTCATCTGCAAGGGATTGAATGTGAGACTTAGCCATGTTTGTATCAGATTGGCATCTACAGCATGAATCACTTTCCTGTAGAGGGCAGAGATAGTTCTTGATAATATTCTCAAGTTTTGATTCAATTTTGCTAAAGTTTGTATTCTGATGATGATTAATAGTCTTTATGTCTTCAACAGTCTCATTCACTTGCTGAAGGGTCTTATATAACTTCTTATGGCACTGCTTATTTCTTCGAGTCTGTTCTCTGATTCGTTGAACTAAGCTCTTCTTCTTTGGTGGGGCAACATCCTTCCCAAAAGTTAGCCGATTCTCTTTATAGCTAATGTAAATCAGTTATTTACCTCCAAAACAGAGATGCATACTTAATTGAAAAGTAAATTTTCCAAAAATTATTACCCAAGATAGTTCTATTATTAGAGCGATGAGAAAATATCCTTTTGATGTCATCTAATCATCCAGACAATCTCTGGGACTCATAAAGTACTTACTATCCCTCTTCTGAATTTTCCAACGTTAATTCCATTTGAAATTGAAAATTTACCGGTTTTATTAATATTTAATATTTTTATTGAAATGGGGTTTTGGGGTTTTGGGGTTTTGGGGTTTTGGGG